AGTTCTGTCTGACTCTGCAGCCCCACGGACTGCAGCATGCCAGGCTTCCCTGTCCATCACCAACATCCAGAGCTTGCTCAAATTCATGTTGATGATGCCATCCAATGATCTCATCCTCTGTCATCCCCTTCTCCTCCCACCTTCAATCTCTCCCAGCATGAAGGTCTTTACTAATGAGTCAGTTCTTTGCATCAGGTGGTTAAATATTAGAGCTTCAGCTTCAGCATCAGTCCTTATAATGAATATTCAGGACTGACTTCTTTTAGGATTGACTGGTTTGATCTTGTAGACCAAGGGAATTTCCAGAGTATTCTCCAACACCACAGTTCAAAGGCATCAATTTTTTGATGCTCAGCTTTCTTTATGGTCCAACTCTAACATCCATACATGATTACTGGAAAAGCAATAGTTTTGATTATATAGACCATTGTGAGCAAAGTTATGTCTCTGCTTTTTGATATGTTGTCTAGGTTTGTCATAGCTTTTCATCCAAGAAAATAAAGTCATTCACTGTTTCCATTTTCCCCCATCTATTTGCCATGAAGTGATGGGACAGGATGCCACAATCTTAGTTTTCTGAATTTGAGATTTAACCCAACTTTTTTAACCCTCCTCTTTCACTTTCATCAAGAGTCTCTTTAGTTCTTCTTCACTTTCTGCCATAAAGGTGGTGTGATCTGCATATCTGAGGTTATTGATATTTCTCCCAGCAATCTTGATTCCAGCTTCCTCCAGCCCAGCGTTTCTCATGATGTACTCTGCATAGAAGTTAAATAAGCAGGGTGACAATATACAGCCTTGACGTACTCCTTTTCCTATTTGGAACCAGTCTGTTGTTCCATGTCCACTTCTAACTGTTGCTTCCTGATCTGCATCCAGGTTTCTCAAGAGGAAGATCAGGTGATCTGGTAATCCCATCTCTTTCAGAATTTTCCAGTTCATTGTGATCCACATAGTCAAAGGCTTAGTCAATAAAACAGAAATAGATGTTTTTATGGAACTCTCTTGCTTTTTTGATGATCCAGCAGATGTTGGCAATTTGATCTCTGATTCCTCTGCCTTTTCTAAAACCCTTGGTATCTCTAATTTTCTTTAAGAGATCTCTAGTCTTTCCCATTCTATTGTTTTCCTCTATTTCTTTGCATTGATCACTGAGGAAGTCTCATCTCTCCATGCTATTCTGTGGAACCCTACATTCAAATGGGTATATCTTTACTTTTCTCCTTTGCCTTTCACTTCTCTTATTTTCATAGCTATTTGTAAGACCTCCTAAGACAACATTTTGCCTTTCTTTTTCTTGGGGATGGTCTTGATCACTGCCTCCTGTACAATGTCACAAACCTTTGTCCATAGTTCTTCAGGCACTCTGTCTATCAGACCTAATCCCTTGAATCTATTTCACTTCTACTGTATAATCATAATGGATTTGGTTTAGGTCATACCTGAATGGTATAGTGGTTTTCCCTACATTTTTCAATTTAATTCAGAATTTTGCAATAAACAGTTCATGATCTGAGCCACAGTCAGATGGTCTTGTTTTTGCTGACTGTATAGAGCTTCTTCATTTTTGGCTGCATAGAATGTAATCAATGATTTCAGTATTGACCATCTGCTGATGTCCATGTGTAGAGTCTTCCCTTGTGTTGCTGGGAGAGAGTGTTTGCTATGACCAGTGTGTTCTCTGGCCAAAACTCTGTTAGCCTTTGCCCTGCTTCATTTTGTACTCCAAGGCCAAATTTGCCTATTATTCCAGGTATCTCTTGACTTCCTACTTTTGCATTCCAGTCCCCTATGAGGAAAAGGACATCCTTTGTGGGTGTTAGTTCTAGAAGGTCTTGTAGGTCTTCATAGAACCATTTAACTTCAGCTTCTTCATCATTACTGGTCGGGTCATAGTCTAGGATTACTGTGATATTGAATGGTTTACCTTGCGATCGAACAGAGATGATTCTGTCATTTTTGAAATTGCATCCAAGTACTACATTTTTGACTCTCTTGTTGACTATGATGGCTATTCCATTTCTTCTAAGGGATTCTCGCCCACAGGAGTAGATATATTGGTCATCTGAGTTAAATTTACCCATTCCAGTCCATTTTAGTCCCCTTATTCTTCAAATGCCGGTATTCACTCTTGTCATCTCCTGTTTGACCACCTCCAATTTGCCTTGATTCATGGACCTAACATTCCAGGTTTCTATGCAATATTGCTCTTTACAGCATCGGACCTTCCTTCCATCACCAGTCACATCCACAACTGCGTGTTGTTTTTGCTTACTCTTCATCTCTTCATTCTTTCTGGAGTTAGTTCTCCACTGACCTCCAGTAGCATATTGGGCACCTATGACCTGCGGAGTTCACCTTTCAGTGTCCTATCTTTTTTCTTTTCATACTGTTCATGGGGTTCTCAAGGCAAGAATACTGAAGTGGTTTGCCATTCTCTTCTCTAGTGGACTATGTTTTGTCAGAACTCTCCACCATGACCCATCCATCTTGGGTGGCCCTACATGGCATGGATCATAGTTTCATTGAGTTAGACAAGGCTGTGGTCCATGTGATCAGATTGATTAGTTTTCTGTGATTGTGGTTTTCAATGATTATGCAAAATGATTACCACCTTACATTTAGCTAACACCTCGATGACCTCACATAATTACTTTTTGTGTGTATGATGGGAACATTTAAAATTTATTCTTATAGCACCTTTCAAGGATGTGATACACTATTGTTAGGCTACAATCACTGTGCTGTATATTAGATACCCACAAGTATTCATCTTATAACTGGATGTCTGTACACTTTGACCAACATTTCCCCCTGCTTCCTAACCCCTATAACCACAATTCTATACTCTGTTTATTTAAGTTTGACTTTTAGATTAAATATATGATATTCATATAGAATTTTTTTCGCTGTCAGTGTATTTCTCTGAGAATAATGTCTTCAAATTTCATCAGTGTTGTTTCAAATGGCAGAATTTCTTTCTTTATCATGACTGAATAATATTCCTGTGTGTGCATATACATATATATCTCATCTTCATTCATCCATAGTTAGATGCTTCAGTTCAGTTCAGTTCAGTTGCTCAGTCGTGTCTGACTCTTTGCAACCCCATGAATTGCAGCACGCCAGACCTCCCTGTCCATCACCAATTCCCGAAGTTTACTCAAACTCATGCCCATCGAGTCGGTGATGCCATCCAGCCATCTCATCCTCTGTCGTCCCCTTCTCCTCCTGCCCCCAATCCCTCCAAGCATCAGGGTCTTTTCCAATGAGTCAACTCTTCGCATGAGGTGGCCAAAATATTGGAGTTTCAGCTTCAACAATAAGTCCTTCCAATGAACACCCGGGACTGATCTCCTTTAGGATGGACTGGTTGGATCTCCTTGCAGTCCAAGGGACTCTCAAGAGTCTTCTCCAACATCACAGTTCAAAAGCATCAGTTCTTCAGCACTCAGCTTTCTTCACAGTCCAACTCTCACATCCATATATGACCACTGGAAAAACCATAGCCTTGACTAGACAGACCTTCATTGGCAAAGTAATGTCTCTGCTTTTTAATATGCTTTCTAGGTTGGTCATAACTTTCCTTCCAAGGAGTAAGCGTCTTTTAATTTCATGGCTGCAATCACCATCTGCAGTGATTTTGGAGCCCCCCAAAATAAAGTCTGACACTGTTTCCCCATCTATTTGCCATGAAGTGATGGGACCAGATGCCATGATCTCAGTTTTCTGAATGTTGAGTTTTAAGCCAACTTTTTCACTCTCCTCTTTCACTTTCATCAAGAGGCTTTTTAGTTCCTCTTCACTTTCTGCCATAAGGGTGGTGTCATCTGCATATCTGAGGTTATTGATATTTCTCCCAGCAATCTTGAATCCAGCTTGTGCTTCATCCAGCCCAGCATTTCTCATGATGTACTCTGCATATAAGTTAAATAAGCAGGGTGACAGTATATAGCCTTGAGGTACTCCTTTTCCTACTGGGAACCAGTGTGTTGTTCTATGTCCAGTTCTAACTGTTGCTTCCTGACCTGCATCCAGGTTTCTCACAAGGTAGGTCAGGTGGTCTGGTATTCCCATCTCTTTCAGCATAGTCAATAAAGCAGAAATAGATGTTTTTTTGGAACTCTCTTTTTCAATGATCCAGCAGATGGTGGCTATTTGATCTCTGGTTCCTCTGACTTTTCTAAAACCAGCTTGAACATCTGGAAGTTCATGGTTCACGTATTGCTGAAGCCTGGCTTGGAGAATTTTGAGCATTACTTTTCATTCCAATCCCAAAGAAAGGCAATGCCAAAGAATGCTCAAACTACTGCAAGATTGCTCTCATCTCACACGCTAGTAAAGTTAGATGCTTAGATTGTTTCAATAAATGTCAATGAATAATGCTGCAAAGACATTAGATTTTTGTTTCCTAAGTAAAATGAGAGGAGGTTTCTATAGGAGCATCTAGAGATGGGCATGGTAAGGAGGCCAGAGTGGAATCTATTTCTTTGCTTTGTCCCATGGTCAGATTCCACAGTGAGAAAGCTCCAGGCAGATGCAACAAAACCTCTTTTATCAAAGATATCTGTGAAACATGGGCAGATATCTGTAAAAGCTGTATTTCATCCAGATGGGCAGTATTAGTTCCTGTCTGTAGAGATATTAGTGAACATAGATGTGAACATCTTGAGGGCCTAGGTAGTACCAGAGTCAGTTGGGGCAACAGATGCCAGAATTTTCAATAATAATTTTTTGCTGTGCAGACAGGTGGTTGAGACCTGGAAACAATTAAGCATAAATTAGTTGTTTCCCTAATTCTACTTTGCTGTTATCTGTAAGATATGCCTCTTTTTTTCCCCATAATCAAAGCTTTATTGAAAAGACACCAAAATAGGAGAGTGCTGCTGTATACCTTACAAAATTAAATATAATTACATTATCTTGGTAGATTAACGGGAGTTAATGAACTGATAAGACTTTCTGCAATAGAACACAAATTCAAGAAGTTGTGTGGATCATTAGTGTTGCTTCCTTCTAAATGAACAGCCTTCTGTGAGTCTGGCTTTTCCTCCTGTTGGCTGGAACAGCACTGTTGAACAGCCTACACAAAGCATTGCTGTCTGAGCATGGTTGAAAACTGTGGTAATCTTGTAGCAACCTGGACATTTTTCATCCATGAAGTAAGAATTTGGACTTTGAACCAGCCATTTCTTTTTATGTTTTTTCTTTTCCTCGTCCAAGGAAGGATGCAGTAAATCTCTAGCTAAAGGCATGTTGATCCTTTCACAAGCCCAGCCCATGCAGATCTCTCAATATGCCTCTTAAAAACAACTCTTTTGCAGGGATTAGGGAGGGGCATAGTAACACCACTCTAATACTTGTCCATATCAATTTTATGGATCTCCTTGGTAGCTCATACAGTAAAGAATCTGCCTACAATGCAGGTGACCTGGGTTCCATTCCTGGGTCAGGAAGATGCCCTGAAGAACGGAATGGCTACTCGCTCCAGTATTCCTGCCTAGAAAATTCCATGGACAGAGAAGCCTGGCGGGCTATAGTCCATGGGATCACAAACAGTTGGACATGACTGAGTGAATAGCATTTAATACATCAATGTTAAGAAGCATTCTGATTTCAGAAATTTTTAAATGTGGGGAGAATATTTCTTAGAACCAAAGAAATAAGGTATATAATATGGTACATATTATGTGGTATACCAAATACAATGACATGCTTCACTAATATCAACTCAACTGTATTATCTTTCAGCAAAAACTTGGGAGTCAAAGACTTCTGGGTTTGTATCTTGACTCTTCAACATTGTAAATTCTTTATTTACGTTCCCTGCTCCTCACTTTCTTTCTTAAACTGAGATAATAATTATTAAATGAGTTTCATAAGAGATAATTTCGTAAAGTACTTAACATACTGAATGGCACAAATGAGGGCTTTAGGATATTATGGTTTATAATAAGAAATATATACTTGTGTTTTTTTTTTTTTCACATTTCTGTCACAGAACTCCTAACACCCTTGGAATTTCCTAAATGAAAGAATCAATAAAGATGTCTTTTTTATGTTAATGAGATAACATTGGGACCCCACCAAAAGATGAGGGTATTTGCCTGGAGAACAAATTCTGTGATTCAATTCAGTTCATTTCAGTTGCTCACTCTCTGTGAGCCCATGGACTGGAGCATGCCAGACTTCCCTGTCCATCACCAGCTCCAGGTGCTTACTCAAACTCATGTCCCTCGAATCGGTGATGCCATCCAACCATCTCATCCTTTGTCATTCCCTTCTGCTTCTGCCCTCAATCTTTCCCAGCATCAGGGTATTTTCAAATGGGTCAATTCTTTGCATCAGGTGGCCAAAGTATCAGAGTTTTAGCTTTAGCATCAGTCTGTCCAATGAATAGTCAGGACTGATTTCCTTTAGGATTGACTGGTTAGATCTCCTTGCAGTCCAAGGGACTCTCAAGAGTCTTCTCCAACACCACAGTTCAAAAGCATCAATTCTTTGGCAGTCCAACTCTCACATCCATACATGACTACTGCAAAAACCATAGCTTTGACTAGACGGACTTTTGTTGGCAAAGTAAGGTCTCTGCTTTTAAATATACTGTCCAGGTTGGTCATAGCTTTTCTTCCAAGGAGCAAGCCTCTTTGAATTTCATGGCTACAGTCACCATCTCCAGTGATTTTGGAGCCCGAAACAATAAAGTCTGTCATTGTTTCCATTGTTTCCCTATCTATTTACCATGAAGTGATGTTACCATGGTTACATGATTTTAATTTTCTGAATGTTGAGTTTTAAGCCTATTGTTTTCACTCTCCTCTTTCACTTTCATCAATAGGCTCTTTAGTTCTTCTTCAATTTCTGCCATAAGGGTGGTGTCATCTGCATATCTGATGTTGATATTTCTCCTGGCAATCTTGTTTCCAGCTTGTGCTTCATCCAGTCCAGCATTCTCATGCTGTACTCTGCATATAAGTTAAGTAAGAAGGGTGACAATATACAGCCTTGATGTACTCCTTTCCCAATTTGGAACCTGTCTGTTGTTCCCATGTCGAATTCTAACTGTTGCTTCCTGACCTGCATACAGATTTCTCAAGAGAAAGATCAGGTGGTCTGGTATTCCCATCTGTTGGAGAATTTTCCACAACTTGTGGTGATCCACGCAGTCAAAGGTTTTGGCATGGTCAATAAAGCGGAAGTAGATGTTTTTCTGGAGCTCTCATGCTTTTTTGATGTTCCAATATATGTTGGCAATTTGATCTCTTGTTCTTCTGCCTTTTCTAAATCCAACATGAACATCTGGAAGTTCATGGTTCATGTACTGTTGAAGCCTGGCTTGGAGAATTTTGAGCATTACTTTGCTAAAATGTGATTTGAGTGCAATTGTGCAGTAATTTGAATATTCTTTGGCATTGTCTTTCTTTGTGATTGGAATGAAAACTAATCTTTTCCAGTCCTGTGGCCTCTGCTGCATTTTCCAAATTTGCTGGCATATTGAGTGAAGCACTTTCACAGAATCATCTTTTAGGATTTCAAATAGCTCAACTGGAATTCCTTCATGTCCTCTAGCTTTGGGAGTGGATGGGAATTTTCAGTACCATCCCTCTGATCTTGGGGGAGGTGAAAGGGAGTTGGAGATTGAATTAGTTGCCAATGGACAAGGATTTCATCAATCATCCTAAGTAATGAGGCCTTGGTAAAACCCCAAAAGGACAGTGTTTGGAAAACCTCCAGGTTGGAGGTGCTGAGATGGTGAAGTGCCTGGAAAAAGTATGGAAGCTCTGTGCCTTGCCCTGTGTAAAGCTTTCATCTGACTATTTCTGAGTTATATCTTGTTGTAATAAGTTGGTAATCTGGTAAGGAAAATATTGCTATGGGTTCTGTGAGTTGCTCTAGCAAATTAATTGAACCAGAGGAAGGGGTCATGGGGACTTCATATTTATAGCAGCAATTTGGGCATGTGACTGCCATCTGAATTTAGCCTTGTAGTCTTAAATCCGTGACCTGTAGAATGTGATTCTGCCTCTGGGTAGAAAGTGTCAGAACTGAGTTGAATTCTCAGACACTCTCTTAGTAGCCTAGAATTGTTTGTTTTTGATGTGGTGGGAACTGGGTCCAAGAATCAAAAAGAGGTTCAAGAATGTAGTTATTATTACTTTGTTTTTGTGCAGTTGAAAAGTAAAATTTTCCTAAATACAAAATCACAATTTAAAAGGAATAGTAACAATTTGGAAAAAGGTATCCAAACTGGGGAAGGATCAATTAAACAAACCATACAGTTAATTGCAAAAATAAAAAAGTGGGAATAATTTGCTGTGAACATAGCAGGAAGCAGATTGATGAAGAAAAAAGATATAATTATTAGCTGGAAAAGTCAAGTGCTGTCATATCTATATAATAGGGAATAGATTTGCTGTGTGAAAACCTAGATTTTTAGAACATAATCATTGTCATGCATTGATGACCAAAAATTTTTAAATGTGCAATGCTTTCTACTTTCATATTCAGACCAAATTCTGTTGACCCAGATCTGCTCACCATTCTTTTGTTTTTTGTTTTTACCACACATACTGCTTCTCAGTGCTGTTGCTCATTTTCAGCTTTGATCTGCATGGAGAGAAAAATAGTGAGATTTCCTAGTATCAGTGCCTTAAAAATCAGTGAAAAGTTTAGTATGATTTGGTTCCTTGGTTATTCTAGTGGTTTTTGAAAAACTTTTCTTTGGGGTCTTTTATATAGTGATGGTTTGGGAAGAATCTGGGGAAGAAAATTGAATGGTGGTGGAGGCAGGTTTAGTTTTTGTTCTATTAATTTCCATCAGTCTTTAATACTACAAGCTCATTATCTTTAGAAAGAAATGAATAAAAATTGTTGGTGGAACCTCACATAAAAGGACTGTTTTCACCAAGTCTTATCAGTTTGCTTCATGCTTGTCTAAGTAACAGTGAAAGAGCAACGTCTAGAGCTCAAAGTATGAGTATCTTGATTCCAAGATTACTGGTGTATTTAATATGCCCCTCAAAGTAGTAGTTTCACTTGTGATTGACTATGAACACTGAATCTTATCCTTCAAATGCAAATCATGGACCTTGCAGAGTGCATCAATGCCCCGTGCCAGAGCTCTTAACTAGTCTGTTTGCTTAATAAGACTGACTCAAATGTGGCATTAATAAAGTGCTCCATGTGAACTGACAGAGGAGTATCTAGTTCCTTAATAGTCGTGTGTGACTGTTTGCCTAGTAAGTTAGTATGCAGGCATTGCTTAGCTTTACCAACCTCATTACTGGGACTGGGAAGCTTCATTGTAATTTGCTACACAGTTCCTGTGTTTCCTATCAAGTCATAGGCAAGTAGCTAAATCAATCTATCATTGATGTTTGCTCCACTGTTGATCTGTCACATCTCAAGAGCATGAGGATGTTGTAAAGTGGACAGGGAGCTGAGAGTAATTTTGTACGTGCCAAATGGGAAGGTGTGATATGGTCTCACTTGACTTTGGCAGAACTAAAATAGAATATTGTTCAGCTGCAAAACTCATTACTGTATAAAATTAATTACATGACATCAACTTATGGTTTGCTATAGTCAGAGATTTGTCTTCATTTGCATTTTTGAGAACCTCTTTTTTGGATACATACTCAGGAGTGGAATTGCTGGATCATATGGTAGTTCTACTTTTAGTTTTTTAAGGAACCACTATACTGTTTCCCAGACTGCTCCACCAATTTATATTCCAAGCAACAATGTAGGAGTGTTTTTTTTCTTTTTTCTTCTCCACACCCTCTCCAGCATTTGTTAATTGTAGGCTTTTTGATGATGGCTATTCTGACTGGTGTGAGGTGACATCTCATGGTGCTTTTGATTTGCATTTCTCTGGTATGAGCAATGTTGAGCATCTTTTCATGTGCCTGTTAGCCATCTATATGGTTTCTTTAGAAAATGTCTAGTCAGGTCTTTTGCCCCCTGCTTAATTGGGTTCCTTATTTGATATTGAATTGCATGAGCTATTTGAATATTTTGAATATTAACCCCTTGTTGGTTGCATTGTTTGCAAATATTTTCTCCCATTCTATAGGTCATCTATTTGTTTTGTTGATGGTTGCATTTGCGATGTAATTTCTTTTAATTTTAAATGTCTCATTTGTTTATTTTGGCTTTTATTTATTTTGCCCTAGCAGACCAATCTGAAAATGTGTTGCTACCGTCTACGTCAAAGAGTGTTCTGCCTATGTTCTCTTCTAGGATTTTTATGGCG